ATTTTTATTACTCTCACTTTATGTTCTTTTCTTCCTTCTCTAAGTCCAACGTTTTTCTTTTCTTTTCGTCCATTTTTATTTTAAGATGCTGTTCTGTTTAAGGATTCCTCTCAGGAGATACAATGTATGCCCTAGGACAACGATTTCACTTGTTTGGTCTTCTTTACTTGTTTCCTTTTTTTTTGATTTCTTTAAATAAAAAGCTTAAACTAATGCGGTGCACTCACTTCTAATAACATTTCAACGAAAGGTACTTCATGTTCATGCTATTTTGTACCATAGACCTATAACTATAACTGATAGTCAAATTAAGTGCAGAACTACCGACAAGTGGTATGTCTCAACGATTTTCAAAGACAAGGCTATTATTTGAAATATTCCATTGGACTTTTCACTCCAACAGATAGTCTTGAACTCCTCAACTTCCGTCTATGGTTTTTTCTGAAATCCTTGCCACTTATCGTTCAAGTAGATACTGTGCTAAGGTTGCAGTTGTTTCAAATCCAAACTTCTTCTGTAAGTAAATAGTTACGGCCAGATGAGGACACAATATAGAGTTGTAGAACAATAAGGATGAAGAGGACAATAAAGACAAAAAGGATAAAAAGGACTGCGCGGATGTGGAGGAAAGGAGAAGCAGCGTGCGAGTGACTTGGAAGAGTAGTGTAAACCTAAAGCTTGTTTCATGAAGTAGTATAAAACCACTCTTGTTAGTTTAAAGCGAGCTGAATGAAAGCCGTAATGAACACTTTCTGCAATAAGAATTGTTCTTCTTATCCTCTGTATCCGTATTACCGCATCACATAGCAGAAGAAAAATCGCAAATTTTCGCCTTGGACAAACACAAGTTAGTCACAGCGTCTTCGAGTATGACGCAGCGTTTTTCAGAGGGCCTCATAACTTTATTATATTGGCTTGTGGAACGACTATAGGCTCATGGAGACAGGCTAAGGATTACGCTGAATCTTGTGACAATATTTATTCCATTTTAGAGAATTATTGAGAATAAGAGAATAAGAGTACAGGTCGACTGTTTAAGCAATCTAATAATGTTTTTTAGACTGGACTAAATTCGTTTAGTCCAATGAACTGGACTGGACTCTCAATTTTGAGTCCGTACGGAGCTCTGATAGCTATACGTACATGCGATTGATGGTATCGACGTGTCTTTTTATATCGAAATGAAAATAGACTTTCGTCGGCTTGTCCGGTTGTTATACATAAGAAATAAATATCTCTTTAAAAATATAATGGAAAAAGTTTTAAATGAAAGAACTTAACCAAAAATGGCTGCGTTCCTATAATGAAATGGTCTTTGCTGATAGTGCAACGTTGATTCAAAATATGATATTTTTAATGCATAAAGCCTGAGTCTTAATAAAGAAAATAGAGAATTACGATTTTTGTGCTCCTGATTTAGAAAATAGGAACTTTGTCAGTGACAATGCACAATAGAAAAACAGCCATATGTACTATTAACTATTTACTGCTGGTAAATACTCGTTGCATTACGATCTATTTATTCTATCTTGTCATTGTTTTTCATACTCTTTCACTTTCAGAAAACACCAACAATCTTTTATTTTCTAAGTAAGAATTAATATATCGGCAAAAACTTCGTTTGAGACTTGATAAAGCTATGCCGAAGAACTGCAGGACGGTGACGTATTTTTTTTTGTTTTATTTTTTATTGCAGCACGGTGTGTTATTACAGGACAAGACGTGGGAAGATGTATAATTAAAAGTGAAAAAAATTTTTGAACAAATGCTGTCATTAAAAAGATGTGTTGGATTTCAGTTTTGTACCTGCGATTCTGTAGGTGCTCCAACAATCTTTATTTTAGGTTCAGGACCTTTAGGAACCATGCGATTCTGCATAGCTTTGAAAGTCCCATCATCAGCAATTGTCATACCATCAATAACTGCCATCCAGCTGATGGTCAGTTTGGGTGTGGATTTCTTGTCTAACTTAATTTCATTTCCTGCTGCAGAAACATAAACCAATTTGAAGCGATCTTCGATTGTTTTAAATGGATTGACTGGTGGATTTTGAGCACTGATCTGACCACCGTCAATTTCTTTTTCCACTGAAATTCCTAATCTTCTCATTGCTCTGGTTAATTCGACACTACCACACATATGAGTTACGTCTTGACAAGTCATACAACTGGAATCAGGAGAACGGGCAAAACTGGAAACACAACCAGCGTAATTTGGGGATGTTAATGGTGTCTGGATATCTGCATTTCGCAAATCAATAAACACACGAACCCTGTACGGACCATTTTGTGAATGCTTAGGCAAATTTAAAATATTTAGATACCAACGAATACCATAATGATTGTCCGGTAGAAATTTCCGCCATATATAGAACTGCATCTGACTAGGGGTCCAAGCAATATCTCCATCTTTTGCGTTACTTATATCAGGATATGTATATTTCCAGTCTTCAATAAGTCTTACATCCATAGAATTTAAGTACTTATTATTTTCTTTATGACTCCAAAAAGGAATTAGGTCCGTTTTGATGTTTTTAGCAGCAGCAGCTGAATTGCTTAGACCTGAAACTGGAACGTACTTGGTGGGATTGGCATACTGCCAGATTGCTAATAACCGATCAACATTACAATGATGAAACCAGAAGATTGGATCAAATGCAGCAACTGCAAAAGAAGGATAAAACACAATCAATGCACAGATTACTCATGCTATCCGGCCTGTCCAACTAACGGTCACCTTCACTTAAGATAATTCGAAAATTTCTTTTTAACTTTAAGAATTTGTGAAGCACATCGTCTAACGTAGTTTTTGAAGCTGATTTCGAATATCAACTTAAAATTTCCAAAAAATTAAATTTTTACCTTAGAAAATGAAATCCAAATTTTATTTTTAATTTTCTGACCTAGATAATTACGCGAAAAAAAATTAAGCGATATGGCATTTTGTAGAGAATTAAAGTCTCTACAAGATGGTGTATTTATTTTTGAGTTTGGGTACGTTCCAAGAAAGTTGTTTTTTCGAAAGACTATGTTTTGAAACGGGTTTTTCTCCCAGTCGAAACGATTTCGAAACGTTTTTCTACAGTGCATCGGAAATATCAGATCAGATACTGTCTACTGCTATCGGAAATGTTTTTCTATGATGACTTTTGTAATAGAGTTTAATCTTCTGATTTGAAAGAACCAAAAAAAGCTGTAATTCCGTAACGGACTGTTTTTTCAAATTTTTATATCATCTAGCGATTCTAATCGAAAACCAAGTGGATATTCTGAAAGCTGGTTTCAAGCTACACAATTTTGCTTCAGAACACATCTTAAAAAAATCTTTCATAGAGCACAAAATGTAAAACTTAGACATCACTGAAAAAGAAGTCCATTTTCGATAATTCCATAACGGTCGTTATTTTTTTAATAACTCCCTATGGAATGATCCAAACTCAACGAAATTTTCGGATGTGATAAAACTCGGTACTGTCTACCTCTGGTAATAGCGTCATTGCGTTCGGATCACTCTCAGAAAAGTTATGGCACGTGAAAGTTGAAAAAAAGTAATTCCGTAACATTTGGACAAGCCGTATTGATGATAAAAGACAAAAGAACATAGGAAACCAGTTGATCAATGAAGTTCTTAACTTTTATCGACGACATATGCTGTTATTGCATTGTCTCTGTCATGTATGATACTACACAGTATACATCACTGATGACATTTAGCAGAATACAGGCATATTATTGATCATTTGAGTGTCTTTATTCTATCCATTATATGCAACTTTCAATACCAAAAGCGGTCAGCAATGATTGGGGAAAGTCCTCGCAATCGATCGATTGTCAATCAATTATATATAATTAATTGATACCTGATGCATAAGAAGTTTAACTAATGACTGATGACTTCACTCGGCGGTTCACTACATCGATTTCGCTTTTTGTTATGATCCCACATTTAGGTACAAGATAAAATATAATCCGATACTTGTATCTGTGGACCTAATTGCAAGATGCAACAGCAGTTTTCAAAGTGATAGATTGTATGTATAGAAGAATGAAGTATGGATTTCTTGAGCAAAAGTCGTCCAGAACAACTTTGAGTGATCATTGCAAGTGTCAGAGATAATGCTTCGAACCATGTATAAGACGTTTTTCGTACTATTCGTGTATTTATTTGTTTTGTTAAAAGACGAAAAAAATCTTCAAAATCTTCAAAATCTGAATCCTATAAGCTTTCGAAAATATCTCCTTTTATTATCAAAAGTACGTAGAGTTTAGCGTCAGATCGAAGAAAAATTTAAATTGCTTCCATTTTATGATGCTTGTTGACTGGATCATTTTTATGTTGAACGTTTTTCAATCTGACACGTCCATGCGTACGACTGCAAGTAAACACTCCAAACATTGAAGTGCTCGTATTTTGTCACAATCGATCCGTCACTGATTTTTATTGAGAAGTACTGAAGCCAAAAAGCTTTATTACGGCGAAGAAACAGAATTCCTGATCAAAATTGTTTTCGTTAAAAAAAGCGTTTTCACTGACGTATGACTCGGAACAACATGGTATAATCAGATAGTGCATATCAAGTTATCTCGTTACACTGTACCTGTAACACTTTCTTTTTTTTTGTTTTCGCCACCCAATCACATCAGGGTAATTTCCTAGTACAACTCACGCGAGACTGCGGTTATCACACACTGTTATTTCTGTACGACTCAGCAGCGCACTATGTCTCTTAGACTAAGTAGTGCCCTATCGACTATCCAATTTTTCAAATTCTTTTGAGATCTGGCAGTAAAAGTTTCCAGATTCACGTACAATGTGGTACTATCTAAGGTGCTCGTAATTCAAACTTCGAGCAAAATTTGTTTTTGACTTAATCATACATATTCTGATTCGTCTTGTCGAGCTGATCACGAATATCACCTTTTGACTTCTTTTCAACCACATCTTCATGGA